TTTATGCTTTGATAAAGTTACTTCTATCTTTGAAGCTACCCCCCAGCCACTAGACTCATTAGCTGCAGGATAATGAGAAATTAGCCACAGAGAACTGCTTAATGAGGTAATCCTGAACTAATCATTTCGGGACAAAAAAAGCCTCTAAGTGACAGGGACTGCTGTAGCCTATGGCCATAGTCTCTGCCTTGTGTAAAGTGTGTGTGTTTATATGGATATGCTACCATAAATACTTATAGCTTGCTTATCTTTCATGCAAGGAGGGATTGAGTTTAATGCCAGGCACAAAATTAGTGTTGAAACATTCAAGCCCGTGCTTTCCTTTTCAAACAAAACATACGTTCTTTGCTGCCTCTCTAGAAACACAGCAGCATTTTGTTATAGCATAAAGCAGAGCTCTGGGGTCTCCTTGCTTGCAGAGCATCTGGCACATAGGCCCCATGCTGCAGCTGCTCCTCATAGTACCACTACCCTGGGTTGCTCCCAGGTTAATAGGATTATTTCACGAGGAGCTTTTCAGCAAGCTGCCAGAATAATGCCAGAGGGAAGAAAAAGAAGATGATTTGCTTCCTCATAGACAAATCTTATGAGCTTTCGGGAAACATTTGCAGAGCATAACAAGGTATGCCCTGGCACTGTTTGCTAAGACACAAATAGCTTGGGGCCATAGGTTTGTGCCTTGAAGAAACTACTTCCATCAGAACCAGGTTGTGCAAATGACACTTTCACACCATCAATTTCTTGTCCAACTCCTACCATGTCTCCATGTGAGACCAGTCTGAATTGCATTAGGGAACTCTTGCATGTACTTTGGGATTGCAGTATTGACTGCCATGCCTCTTTGAAAAGAGTGATTTGCAGAGCTACTCAAATCTTGCTAATATAGATTCCCAGAAATTAGTATGGAGACAGTCTTCCTTTCTCCTCTTTCCTTTCTGGCTTCATATATTTTGGAAGGAAGGATCAGCTTCATTGCTGTTTGCAATTGCAAAGTTTCCTGGGATGAATACTGTTTATGAAGGAGGCCATGGGAAAGGGGGAACTTGAACCTTCAGTCACTGCAGAGGAGGATTAGTCGGGACTCACTCAATTCCAGAAAAGAAACCGAACTGGCTGGCCTAGAACACATAGCACCGTCAGCCTAGTCAGTCATGCATCCCCTCTCCAGTTGCCTTGGTAGAGCATTAAAATACATCAAATACTAAGAAGTGTTAAGTGTGAATTTCCTTGTTCTCAGTGAAGGATGGGATGTGGACGGTTAATCAGGAGCAGAATCGTGTTTGCTTAATGTATATATACAAGATAATATGGACCAAGAGTTCTTCTATATAGCAAGTACCAGTGGTCATACTAGAAATTGGGATTATCACAACCTGAGTTTCAAAAATCCAGGTAACCACTAGATGGGAGCAAAGTAACGTGTAAAACTGCATGACTTTTCTGCCACCAAAAGCTAGATGGCAGCAAAGTCGTGCAGTTTTATGTGTTGCTTTGCTTCTATCCAGTGGTTGCCTGGTTTTTTCTGCAGTTTTGCAACCCAGGTATTATAGATCGACAAAAACTAATGTTAGGACTCCCAGTTTGTTGTGAGCTACTTTATTGATTTATGGATTTATTTATTTATATCCTATCTGTATTATTTTATAAATAATTCAAGGCAGCAAACATACCTAATATTTTTTTCCTCCACCCATTCTTCCACAACAAGCTTGTGAGGTAGGTTCTTCCCTTGGCAACATTACCCTGTAGAAAAAGGAAACTTAGCTACCAAGGGTGTGAGAAGAATTAAAAAAAGCTGTGCTATGGGAGGAAAAACAGATTAGTAGTTGACTAGAAAACATAGTACTCTATTGGAGGCTCAATTCCCCACATTTTGGGTTAGAGTTAGACCAATGATGGCAGGTAATTCTAAGTTCCACCACAATTGAATGATGAAAATTCTCAGATTGTGAAATTTTGTGTAATATCCTGCATATTTTGTTAGGACTTCCTCTGTGGAAACTTTATGGTAGCAAATGTATTTATTCATTCTGTATTGTGTGCACGTTGTTTAGAATTAGGCCCTGCTGGATGCAGTGTGTTTTGTGTATAAACATTCATAAGAACAGGACACAAGCCCATTCTTTGGTTAAGAGACTCAACATGAGATCCTGGCATAAACTTTGTATGGGTACTAGATCTTCTGATTCTACTATTCTCACGCCAACTACAGGCCTCAGTTATTGCTTTTATGCCCTGCTTGTCCTGCTTTGATTTAGTGGCATTTAGTTGGCCACTGTAAGAACAGATTGCAGGATTCAATAGACTGTTGATCTAATCCAGCTGACCTTTTTCTGCCCTTTCATTTTTTATTCACTTCTCACATGTATTTTCACAGCATAGCTTCCAGAAATATAAGGGAGTTATTCCCTGTATATCTACATTACACATTTCAGATTTCTCTTAAAATTACCTGGGCAATATAAAGTTTGCATCTTGATGGGAGGATATTTCATTAAGTAGGGGTCACAACTGAAAAGCCTGATTTATTTCTAGACAGATTCATTTGTAAGCAGGGGCCATAGCAAATGTTAGTGGAGAGATAGAGCTTTCAGTTGATAAACTATCAAGGAAAAGATATTAAATTAAGCAGAATTAGGCATTCAATAGAATTTTCTTTGAATTAAGCAGGTCTGACATGATCTTCACCCAGAATTCCTAGATCACCTTCATTATCCTTAATTATGTGATAGGTAGCTGATTATCGGGCAGTTTCCCATTACTACCTCTAGATAAAAATATAATATGAAATTCAAAGAGATTTTTTCTTTCCAGTAGCTTTGATGTTATCTTCCCTGTAAAAAAAATTACTGCCACTGTAACCCATGACCCAGATCGTTGCTGGGCATGATTCACAGAACTGATCATAATGGCATGTAGCTCAGGTAGCAATTATATATATAGCAGGAATGGCTTTGCGTAGCCCACCAGATGATGCTAAACTTCACGTCCCACGCTTGTCAGTGTATTAAGATAGCAAGCGTTTCAATCTCCCCAAAACTGGAGAGGGACATATTGTTCACCCTGAAAGCTAGGAAGAATAAAGGATAACTGTTTCATCCAGCTGTGCCCAACGTGGTGCTCTCCAGGTGCAATGTGTTGGGTTACTACAACTCCCAGAATTCCTAGCCATGTACCCAACAAACACTCTATTAGAGAAGGCTGATTTCATAATTTCATAAACCGTTATTCGCAAATTCGTGCCAGGTGATGAGGAGCTTTTTTGAAACAAAGCAAAAACCAAAAAAAGCGCAACCCTGGAAAAAAAAAAAAAGCAGTCAGTTGATCATTTGGCAGCACCCAATCAGAAAATGCTTTGCCTGCCTTAGCAACAAAGAGCACACCAATCAGAAGAGGGTCTGCTTTTAGTCCTGGTTTTCATTGGCTACGGGGAGGGAGGGAGGGAATAAAAGCAGTGGAGGGGGGGGCAGGAAAAAGATAGAAAGAGGTCTCGCCTTTCCTAGGCTGCTGACCTCTTTGTGTGCATGTGAGCTGTACCACCTTCAGTGCTCCACCCCCTCCATACTAACACATGGTTGCATTGCTGCAGAAGGATTCCTGTGTGTCCATGTGGGTGGTGGGTAGATGTGGAAGGAGGCTGTCTGGAAACGGGTTGCAAAAACAATAATCCAGGTTGAGATGAATTGTCGATTCATGATTTTGTCCTTTCAGCTGTCAAAGGCTAGAGCGGGGAGGGCTCGTGGGCTGCTTCAGCTTAATATTTTGGTTGATTGGCAAATCCTTCATGAGCAGGACATAGTTAACAAAGCCATGCTTTGTTGCTTGCCTTGCAGCCTATAATCCATCCAACAGGGCAGGAAGTGGGCTGTTGCATGATCTGGTTTTAAACCCCAGCCACTTTATTCTTCTTGTCCTTTGTGCCACCTATCTTTATTGCTCTTCTCTTGTGGTAAACAGTAAAGACAAATATGAGAAGAGACTGCCTGAGACACTTAAGCCTGTTCTTAGCCTTGGACTCTGAGCAGCCCATACGCACCAAGATAGGGTTAATGCAAGTCAGCCTTTGACAGATGCTTTTTCTGAACTGCTACACCCCCTTTGATGACTCACTCCCTTACCCCTCAGTTCTTTAAGCCAGAGACTGGGGGTTGGAAGTGTGTGTGGGGGGATGTTGTTAAAAGTATCATCTGTTCTTAGCTTTGTTGCTATAGAGACCATACGGTGGTGATTCTCTTTATAGCCACTTTTTTTTCTTCTTCCAAATTTGGAAACTTCTTGTCCCGTTCCTATTCAGCTCTCCCTTCTTCCAGAATTGCTCTGAGCTGTTCTGTCATGGACTATGATATAAAACCAAGCCAGCAGGCTTTGCAAAGTTCTTATAAAGGAGGAGGATCTGCCAGTTTCTGAATAACTACAAGAACAGAAATAGCTTGGGGTTAGTTATCTGGTCTGTTTGGCCCCTTTAACGTCTTGCCAACATTCTAGAGAGCTGCTTCTTCTTGACTGTAACATTTGCTGGACTGGGCTCAAGTTCTAGGAGCTGGTGGGTGTTTCTCACTCTGATGTCATTTGTTTAATTCTGATTCTTAGTTGCTTCTTGCAGCCATTACAAAAGAGGAGTTGTTTTAGCTCAGTGGCAGAGCATGCATGCATTGCATAAGGAAGATCCCAGTTTCTAGCAGAGCTGTGAAAATCTCCTGCCCGAAGAGAGAATCAGGTGGGAGTGATGATCTGATGACTGAGTGGGAGTTCCTTAAAGCCCTATGAAATTCTAGCAGAATAGCCCTGTAAGGAGTTGCTGGCTCTTCCTTCAGAGACGGTGTAGCCTATGGTAGGTTGTATTATCAAGTGTACCACACTGGACTTCCAGAAGCTTGAGGTTCACCATTCCTTTCCTATCCTTTCTCAACAGATGGAAGCTAAGTCATGAAGCAGTATCTTCTACAAGTGACAGGGAGGGAGAGGGGAGCCTGACATCGCCACAGAAGCCTTGAAGAGCCATGACGTCAACTGTACAGTCTCTGCGTTTCCCACTGCTTCCACATGAACCAGACCAAGACCAGACACATAGTTGTGATCAGGAGATTGAGAGGCACTATCAGGTAGTGCCCTCAGTTGTATGTGCCATGTGCTGCCTCTTTGGGATCATCTATTGCTTCTTTGGTGAGTGTTTTGTGAGTGTGTTGTTGGGGAGGACGGTTATAGATTGCTCCAGATCTATAGAAGACAATTAAAGGCACAGCATGTGGATTCAATGGGAATGTATTATTTCAGTGTCTTATTGGGACCTTTTAATGGGCCATCCCATTTACAGCCAGCTATGCAGCATGACAAACTTAACTGATCAAGGGGGAAGGAGCAAATGTGTTGCATCAGCTCTCTAACCCACACTTAACTAATCCTAATCTTTCTTTCACTGAAAGTTCACATGCTCTGTGGCTATAAAGCAGGGGTGTCAAACTCGCAACATCACGTGATGTGTCACAACATATTATGACTTTTTTTCCATTGCCGGCAATGGGGTGGGCGTGGTTTCACCATGACGCATCTGGCCCACGGGCCAGAAGTTTTACACCTCTGCTATAAAGTATGGAGGGGTAGGAAAGTCCCCACACACCTGAAACACAGGAAGTGAGGAAGAAAGGGACAGCCTCCTTTGATACAGCTGGTAGAACTTAACAATCAACAAAACTGGGGCATGACATATTCAGCCATTTTTGAGTTGTGGCTATCTGCACATCAAAATAAGTGGCTATGTTCACAGGTGTGGTCAGAGCTTATGAGATGGTTGTATTGAGAGTTGCTATTTTTATCTTGGCTGTCGATTGTTCATTTATTTTGTATCTCTTGTATTTTTTTTTGCTCGTTTTGTTAGTCACTTGTTTGAGACAGGTGGCCATGTAAATGGAATAAAATGAAATATAAAATAGTCTCTTGGCTGAGAGTGGTTCAGCCATGTTCCACGAACATAATCAGTATATATTTAATACTAATGTAATGGAACACCAGTTTCTGAACTGCTCTAGCCAATATCCTCCTGTGGCTACATTCCTAACTATAGCAAATTCTTTGACTGAGTCCCTGGCTAAATGTAAAAAGCCCTAGAAGGAAACATTCAGAGTGACAGCTCTGTGCTTCCAATTACATATTACAGAGGATCTGAAATATTCAAGTAAAGGATATAAAGTCCTCTTTTCAAACCCCCAAATATCCCCTAGTAATGCATAATAAAAGGTTGTGCATGTGTGATAAGAGAACATGCAAACTCTCATACACAAATGCTCACAAACACAGGTCACCAAATGAAATGGGGATCATTCTGCTTTGGGCAACCTATCCCCCTTATCACTCTCCTTTCATTTTTTTTCCCACAGGATACCGATGCTTCAAAGCAGTGATGTTCCTGACTGGGCTGATGTTTGGTTCAGTAATCATCTTCATGTTGTGCTACAAAGAGCGGGTGCTGGACACTCAACTAAGCGTGGAGGCCTCTGTGGGCATTGGCCTGGGCATTGGTGTGCTCTGTGGGCTAGTCACCATGTTGGTACGCAGTGTCGGGCTCTTCATGGTTGGGCTGCTACTAGGGCTACTACTAGCTGTGGCTACACTGGTAGTGATGGAGCAGTTCTACCACCCTCCTACTGTCTGGATTCCCATTGGCCTATTGCTGGGGGTGGGCATGCTGTGTGCTGTCCTGACCCTACAATGGCAGCGCCTTTTCACCACACTGTCGACTGCTGTCTTCGGTAGTGCTGTCATGACTGCCACTGCTGACTATTTTGTTGAGCTCTTTTTGCTGCTGCAGTATGTTTATGAGCGTGTCAAGGTGGCACCTGCCCGACCCATCTGCTGGTACAGCTGGGTCATCCTGGGTACTTGGCCTGTCCTGGCATTTTTGGGTGTCTTGGTGCAATGGAAAGTCACAGCTGAAGGGTACTCACACACTGAAGGTGAGTATGGTCCCATGGGGTGGAGAGCAAAATGGCTGAAAGCAAGCAAATCAGCATTTAGTTTAAATGAGGTTTATGAGTGATTTGCCTTGTGTTGACTGGTCTTGCATATTGTATTTGATTAACCATGGTTTATTTAGCAACAACAATCCTCGTACACTAAAACCTACATTTAGAATGGATAACGTTTCCAGTTTTAAGGCCACATCCTACCCTCCAACCATTACTAGGATCATAGTTGGCATCACAAAAAGCAGCAGGATAGAAGCAGGTAGCCCTGCCTAACTTTTTGATGATGGGATTCAGGGAGGCACTTTAAAGCTTTGAGTTTTAAAGTGTGAGCATTAGAGCAGCTAATTTGGGCTTGGGTCATTCTGGCATCATACCAGTGTTTCTGTAAAAGGTCAAAGCTTTCTGATGGGTGGGGTTGGGCGTAGACTTCCCAATAACAGCGTCTGGCACTGATTTTATTAAAGTTATCCCCAAGACAAAAAAGAATTGCTTATCATCCTTTTTTGTCAAAAGCAAGGAAGAAGTGGCACTGGTAGAGCCCAAGCAATGCTTCTTACAGGTGTGTCCCATTGCATGTCATACCTGAAGGGCTTGTTCCAAGATTGCAAAAGAACAGAAGAGAACCAGAGGATTCTCTTGTATCTTTACTTAGTTTTTGGAGGGCCACCTCTCCATTTGTGCTTCCTGCGACTCTTCTCAAATACATCAAGTTTTTCTCTTTACAGCTGTGTTCTTCATTACAGCATAATGACAGTTGCTGTGAAATTACGTAGCAATTTTGCCTTATTCCAGTTTTTGTCTTTTACAGGTTCGCCCTGTCCCCTATTGCTTTCTAGGGAGGTAAATCATTTCAAGTTCCTGAATGTGGAAAGCTTGGTCAGGTGTGAGGAGAGATTGAGTGGTTAGGAGGGCACAACACAATTTCCTGATCTTCTGGAGGGCCACTGGAGGGCATCTGATGATACGATGACAGAGCAACTATGAGGGGGCAGCAGAAAAAGTCAAAATAGCAGCTGCAATCATATGATGAGAGCCCCACCCTTTCCACACGCATTTTACAGATTTTCAGTCATGTAGTTACAACATACCCCTGACTGATAAAGGGTGGGAATAATAGTGAAACCTTTCAGGAAGGCAAATTGTTCCCATCCTAATCCTAAGGCCTTCCTGGTCCATTTAGATACTTACCAGATCACCATTTTGGAACTGATTTTCAGCCATGTTTCAAGGGTAAGAAGATAAAACTATAGGGATGAGAGTGCTTTGCTTTTCAGAGATCTTTTGCTCCCGTTCCCATCCTTAATTCTGCAAATGCCAACAATGTCCAAAATTAGACCCGCGCTCTCATTTCCAGCTTTACTTTTTATTAAAAAAAAAATCATGTGATACTGCTACTAAATATTGATAGTGTGATTTAAGGCTACTGATAAATTGAAAAGAAGGGATGTCTCATGTGATTCACAGGCTGCCCAAACTTGCTGTTCGTCCATAAAAGTGTAATATTGTTGCGTTGGTTTACTATCAATACTTGATTTGTTCCTTCTTTAAAAATAAAAGCAATCCTGGCCAGGAGTCAGATTATGGAGATTGTAATCATCTAGAGGACACTAAATTGTCTGGTACAGATTAAATGAAATTAACCAGTGAATTATTTTATATATAGCAAAATCAGAATCTAGCTAAAGCTATCCAAAGGAAACAAATACTTCGAGAGGGAGTGAGAACGTACGATTCTAAAGGTGAAATAAAATACCATATTGTTACATACACAGTGCCAGAAACTATTTGGGGGTATGTGATCCTGCCAGTTCTCATGGACCAAGGGTCTTCAAACTTGGCCCTTTTATGACTTGTGGACTTCAACTCCCAGAATTCCTCAGCCAGGCACGCTGGCTGAGGAATTCTGGGAGTTGAAGTCCACAAGTCATAAAAGGATCAAGTTTGAAAACCCCTGTCTTGGACCTTTTAGTTTTTGATACCATAAACAACACTATTCTTCCAGAGCAACTGAACGAGTTGGGCCCTGATTTGTAGTTCCAATATTTACTGTTGGGAAGTACCCAAAAGGTGGTGCTGGGGGATTTCCATTTGGCATTTAGGCTATCGTATTGACCTGTGGTGTTCCACAAAGAGGATTCTAGGATTGAGATGAAGCTTTTTCTGGACACTATTGCACTTCCCCAGAAAGAGCAGGTTTACAGCTGGGTGGCTCTTGGTCCCTCATGTGCCACTGGATGTGATTGTTGTGAAGGTATGTTTACATATTTATGACCAGTGCAGTAACTGCAGCCCTTCTAGAGACAGACTAAATTATTTCATGACTTGGTTACAACCCAAGTTAGCTATGTGATGCATTTTATTGAGATTGCCATTGAAAAGTGTCCATAAATTGCAACAGGTGGTAAATACCACAGCAAGTACTGCTCACCTGTGCAAGGAACAGGGATCATATTATATATGCCTATATTGAAAGATCTGCACTTCACAGGGGTATGTGTGCTATCAGTTACTGAGGAGTGTGAATCAAAATGTTACTGTAGCCCTCTGAAATCCTACAATGACTTTTAGGGCTTGAATATCTGCTTTTCTTGACGTGAACCTGTACACTTTCTTAGATCTCTTGTGTGGCTCTTGAGCCTTGTGTGGCTCTTGAGAGCTAAACAATGTGTTCCTCAAAAAGTTAAATAACTCCCAGTCTCTCCGTATTTAGGGAGTGGATAAAAATGCATCTTTCACTAAGTTTTAATTGTTTATTATTTGAGGAATGATTTTAATGCCATGGATTGTATTCTTCTACGATGTTAAATTTAAATTTTTGACTTCGTAATGTTAAATTCAATTGTTGCCAGCTACCTTGAGAGTTGGAATAAAGGCCAGGGTATAAACTGAAGATAAACAATCAAAATAAGATTGGAATTATGTCATGTTCCCTGATATGGCAAGATGTCTGTGCCAATATACATTATTATGACCATAGGATTTACGCAAAATCCAACTATAAAAGCATATTGACATGAATGTCAACTGAATGCTCTCAGGGTCAGTTGCCAAGGGCTGTTATTGTTAGAAGAAAGTCACACTGATTTCATCCTGATAGGCAATATGTGTGCTTTCTATTGGCATCAAATGGAAGAAATGCCATTTTTACTTTCCATTTCTCTGAAATATGCGTGAGTCCTCCTCACATAAGTACCCAACAATTAATCTGAAACAGACTTTAATATGCGAATAAAGCTTAACTGATTAATTACAGTAATTAATCAATTACTATTTTAAAACTTTTATTCAGACTTTATTCAGGACCATATATTTGCCTTTGAGAACTAAGCTACATTATTACGTGCCAGTTGCTATAATTGCAACTTGTCATCCTTTTTTTTAAAAAACCCACTTTAGGGGAATGCAGCTGATACTAGTGACAGCGGAATATGCTTAATTCTTTTCCTATCCATTTCCTCCATGTAAATCCCCCCTAATACCTTTTCTCCCTGAACTTTAAGTGCATACAAACAGTTCATTAAAGATTCCCCTTATAATTTCAGCAGAGTTTAAGAATGGTTAGAGATTACGGCGTGAATGTAGAAGACCTAGCTAGGATGAACCTTTGCTAGCAGGGCTGTCTCCTCATCTAGGGGAGACTCACCAAGTCAAGTACTTGGTCCCCAACCTATGGGAATAAAAGCCCTTTCCTCAGTCATGCAAACTAATGCCTCAGGACCCGTGTCAATCACAAATTTACCTAATTTTTGTTGGGTGTCAACCCTGCTTTTTCATTTAAAAAAGAAATCCACAATAAAGAATTTTCGAAGTGGCTGCACTCCCTCACTGGGGCCAGCCCTTTGTCCTGTGGGGATCTCACGCCACGCTTTTCTTCCCCCATAGTGATTATCAGTCGGCAGCAGCGTCGTGTGCAGTTGATGCGGATCAAGCAGCGGGAAGAGCGGAAAGAAAAGAAGAAAAAGCGGCCACATCCTCACCCCCACCTGCAACATAAGGCCCACCCGCCAGAGCCGGCCTACCGCCGCAAGCCTAATCCTGTGCGTCGATTTGATGGGGATGTGCTCTCCCCAGTGAGTAAATGCCAGGGTCTTCCTACAGAGTGGTAGGGTCATAGGAATCTCGGCTGAAAATTGCCATTAATGGTGCAGAAGGAGCTGCTAAAGGAAATGAGCTTGTCATTCTCATTCTTTTCCTTCCAGGCCTCTTGTATTTTCACCATCCTGTTCGCTATTCGCGAAGTATTTTCACAGTGTGCTCCTGGTTCTTCACTTTTTCAATACCCTTTTCTTGCAGCATGGATGCTTTTCTGGATTTACTGCTTTCCATGCTTCTCCCCCTCTTACCCCCCCCCAGGCAATTTAGTTGGAATTTTTTTTTAGATGTAAGGGGGAAAAAAACCAAATGGGAAGATCCCAGACTCATTGGCTGGCTATGAATTGATACCTTCGCACTAATCGAGGGGCTGCGTATATAAAGAGAAGACATTCAGAGAAAATATATTCCAATTGTGGCTTTGGTGGTTGCGTTTGGAAGATAGGAGTGGAAAAGCAAATTTCTAACTCTTCAAAATTTATTTTTAACCATAAAGGAATGTCTGCCTTTTGCACAGAGTGTTTCCATAAGGAACTCCCCTCCCCCCAAATTAAAGTACATGTAGTGAACTTTCCATCTAATAAGGATAAACACAATTTCAGGAGAGAAGCAACCTGGAATTATGGAGAAACTTCCTAACAGTGAGGACAATTAACCAGTGGAACAGCTTGCCTTCAGACGTTGTGGGTGCTTCGATGTTTTTAAGAAGAGACTGGGCAGCCACCTGTCTGAAATGATATAGGGTCTCCTGCTTGAGCAGGGGGCTGGACTAGAAGATCTCCAAGGTCCCTTCCAGCTCTATTCTGAAATTATGCCAGCCAATATTGTTTTACACTTTTGTTATCTGTACTAACTGGGACAAATTTTTATTCTCTTACGACAAGCCACCATGTCTCTCCTGCTATTGGGGTACGGTACCTAAATGCAGCAAATAGCAACTTGTTTAAAGTGGTAAATGAGTGCAGCTATAGAGGGTGATAGCAGTACTGTAATAATTAGTAATAGCTCAGAGATTATGCATGCCTTCTCCCAAGCAGACCAGGAGATGAAGCTGGATTTACCCAAAGCACTTTGGAGCAAGATAGCAAAGCCAGTTCTTCCATATGGTAAAATTTCGGTGAGAAATGGGGAGTATTTTTATTTTTTAATCATTTAAAATTATTTCTTAATTTTTTCTCCCCCCAGAGCTACATACAGAGCTTCCGAGAACGGCAGACAGGTTCCTCTCTCAACAGCCTCCTGGCCAACGCTCACGCTGCCATTGACATAGACTACGACTGTGGCTCCACTGTGCCCCTGACCACCGGCTCAGGCCCTGCCATGCGAGTATAGGCCAGCACTTTCCCCAGAATACAAGTGCTGTCTCCTGTGGTCACCTGGGCCAAGCCAGGTGGCTAGAACTAGCATCTTGGTCACCGCCAGGATTTGAGGACATTCTTCACCAATTATTTGCGGCCTACGCGCAGACGTATTTCAACACTTCTCAAACTGCTAAACATAAGAGTTCTTCCTAGTGCTTCTAAGCCATCATGCAACAAGGGGTGAGGAAGGAGTTTGAGCAGGTGCTTGAGGGCAAAGGGCTGAAGCAAGATCTGGCTGTAATCCACCCCGGTCAGGACTGTGAAATGCAAGAACTTGCGGGGGATGGGGGGGAGGGGGGAGGGGAGGCCACTCAAGAAAGAACTACTCATCTGGAACAACCCCCACAATAAGCAATGGCAACTTTTTCTTACCCATCACTTCTGGAGCGGGCCTCAAGAGGAAGGACTATTGGATGGTTGTGTGTTCTCTTGCCACAACTTCCTTGCCCTATAGATTGTCTTTGCATGCACTGACCTGAAGGACTGTTTCAGGGCGCAGGTGCCATTGTGTACTGTTAGTGGAAGCTTATGACTCAGTTCACTCCAGTCTGGTGGGAACTAGCCAGCTCAGGGAAATGGGGCCCTGTGGCCCCGGGCCCCTTGCCCATACCAGTGCCTGGCATTCCGTTTAAATGCGAGACTCAAGGAAGAAGGGGAGGAGGGTGGGGATTGGCAACCTGGGCTGGGCTTTGTCACTGTTGAAGTATGCAAGCGTGAGTGTGAGTCTGTGTGCATGTGGTGGCACTGGAGAAGATACGGACAAGCGACTGGTATCCAGGCAACAAACCTTTTTGGATACCCTCCCCCCTCTTCACTTCTGATGCTGGCAAGAGTGTGAGGTAATAATGGAGCCGGAGAGGGGGAACACATGTACATAGTCTTGTGACAGTTATTTGTATTAATTTATTATTGACCAAGAGGTGGACTGGAGAGTTTTGCCAGATCCAGAAGTTGGATAGGGAAAAGGGAATAGGGTCCTAGGTCCAAACCATGTTTTCCTATCTAATCTCATGAAACTAAGGGAGAACGGTGATAGAGGTGTTTCCTCTGCACTGCTGGACAAACTTTAGCAGCTCTCACATTTTCAGTTTGGACTTCCACTGTTGTCTCTGGGGCTAGGGCTTGCTCAATATTTCGAACTTTAAGGAAACTGGAAGGGGGGGGGAGGATTCATCAGCCATTTTTTTTAGGGGAGGCAGATAAGGATCCAGCAAGGCTTCTCTCCATTGAGAAACTGCATGTGTCTGTCACTGATCATCACTGTTGTCACCCCAGAAACTTTGCACTCTTGTTTGTTTTGTCTCTCTCTTTTTGTATATGTGCCAAACGCTGCCGGGCTGTGGCTGCGCAAGTAAAAAAAAAAGCCTTTTAGGAGTTGTGTTTCCATTAATGAATGTGCTACAAGCATCAAACTTGAACCAAGCTACTGTTACATATGGAGATAGGACTGGAGATGAATTAAGGCTTCATTTGGAAGGAGAATGAAGTCAATCCACATCTTGAAACAGTATTTTCTGCAGATACATCTAAAAAGCAGTCTTGAAGTTCTGAAGTTTTCCTTTGAAGTTTTCCTACTTTATTGGTAAAGGCATAACACACCCCAGACAATTGCTTTAAATTATCCATTTGTGTTTTTCTTCCAAAGGAAAATCTTTCTCTTTTTAAGTTCAGATCTTCTTTAAGGAATGGGGTTTAGAAATACAGATAATACACATAAAAGCATACTGCACCCTGGACATATTCTAAGCATACAGCCTTCTGTTGAGCCTGTTGCAGCTTTATATGAAGAACTTGGGAGAAGAGGAGAATGCAGTACATACCATGATTTCAATGCATCTGTGTGGGGAAGCGGGTTTTATTGGGCGGAGAGAAAAAAATAAGAGTAGTTGGCCATTCACTTGGTCTAAATTACACCCATTGAAGAATATATAAAGTTAGAGGTAATACAGTTCCAGGGCTTCGTCTTTTCCCCATTGATCCAGGACCAGCAGATCATTACATCAACCAAATGCAACAATATTTCTTTTTAAATCGGGACTTAAGAACATTTAATAAAGCAGAACGTGCTTCCCATGTCATGCAGAAGAGGAAGAAGACAAGATGACTTGTCTTTTTGTGTGTGATTATTCATACAACTGTCCAGTTTGTTTCTTTGCCTTTCCAAGCTTAAACTTGGGTCTACTGGACTCAAGATTTTCCTGATGCTAGCACTCTGTCAAAAAAAAAAAAAAAAGCAATGGTTCAGACAAATCTATCATGACCAGGGAACCATTCAAACATTTCCCTCCAATGTATATTCCCAGAGACAGGGATCTAGAGTTACCCAGGTGTTGCTGAACTGTAATTCCCAGCAACTCTAGCTAGCATGGCCAGTGTTGAGGAATCCTAGGAACAGTAGTTCAACATCACATTTAGAGACTGTCACTCTGAATTCAGTCTTTTGTTGGGCCAAGTGCATAGCCCATTTCATCTTTGATCAGTATCCCAAGTAGGTCTACGGTAACATGCAGGCCATAGAAGATGTGATCCATTTCTCACATTATTTCCCAAGGCTCAGACTAATCTTACAGCCAGGTATATCACAGGGTCGTAAAAAGAGAGTTTAATGAATTTCACATATTCCCTGCACCCATCCAAACACATCAGACATATTTACCTCGCACTGTGAGATGGGCTTTGGACCGGGCATTACCAATGGTAATCTTCACCATCCCACTCATGTTAGGATTAGTCCTGCAGAACCTCAATTTATGGAGGTGTCCCGTGTTCTCCATTTGCAGCTGCAAGCCAGGCTGCAGCTCCTCCCCATTGAGGCTCCACTGGGGAATGAAGTCTGGAGGGGCAGATATTTCACACTCAAACTGAGCCTCGGAGGGAGCCATCACTTCCACATTCTTCAGAGGTTGGACCACCTGGATTCCTTCAGCTGCAATGGCAGAGAACAGCAAAAATGTATAGACTCGGCAATCATTTTCTAAAGAACGAGGCTGAAGTAGACTAACAGATTGCTGGGTAATTTGCTATGGATGAGCAAGAGTCTAGTTTTAAGTATCAGACAATAACAACAGTAATGTGGCTCTCTCCATCGTGTTAAAGCTAGAATAACAAGGCAAAGGTGAAAAACTGAAGAAAGGATGATTGCTGTTCTTGTATGAAAAGACAGCTCAGTCTAGGTATTAAAAGCAAACTCAGCTGAGCATATGACAAAAGACGCACCCTGGTGTGAGGTTCTAAACCAGGCACTCTTTTGATGGCTGAGGCTGCACAGCTTGTTATTTTGGAGGACTGCAATGGAAAGAATAATGGCAGAAAGTAAATAGCATCATGCAAAAGAGGAGGGAGAGGGGTTTTTTGTATGCTTGGGGTGGTGGTGGAAATCTTCATACATTTATTTATTTAAAGTTGTCAATCCTGTTTTAAGGCTTCTGCTACAATTGTCATCTATTTGCTCTCTCAAAAGTTGAGAAGTCATACCAAGTTTAGGGCAGTGTCACCAATATGTGACAGCAAAGTCAATAGGGCACCAGAGGTTGGCAAAGAGGGCTTTCTGCCATGCAGCTCCAGGTTGCCAACCCTTATTCTAATTTTAGCTCCACTCTTTGGCATTCTCAGTCTGTTGCCGGCCAGCAATTCCTGCTAATCATTTCTCCATGGCATTGTCTTCTTTGGAGTATGCCATCTCCCCTCCCTGTTCTTCACTGCAGTCACACCCTTACCTTCCACTAGCAGGCGGGCTGTGGAATGATCATCCAGGGCATCACAGGTATACAGGCCTTCATCTGCAGGCTCCACACAGTGAATAACCAGAGTTCGGTAACAATCCAAATTGCAGATCTCATACTTAGGCCCAGCAAAGATCTCTGTGTCACCCCGAAACCAGCGCACACGTCCCCGAGCCTGAGACACTGTACATTCCAGTGTGGCTTTGTGACGCACCAGTACAGTTTTATCCCGAAGTGGCTTCACAATACGAATTGGCAATGCTGTAAAAAGAGCAGGCCCAAAGGCTTTGAGGAGTTGGCTTTTCACCTCCTGACCCCCTGGCCCATTTTTGCAAATTTAATAAAGGAGATCTGGTTCCTTATAATAAATTCTGAATAACCTGCACACAAGGAGACATCCTGAGAATCTTGAGGCTTTTGTAAAAAGGAGAAAAATGAATCATGCCATAAGCTCCACCCCTTTCATCATGATGCATCATAGCTACAGGACACTCTTGTTCTCATTTTGTTACATAAATATAATGAACAGAATAATAGAGTTGGAAGGGATCTTGGAGGTCTTCTAGTTCAACCCCCTTAATACTTAACACAGTGCTGGGCTGCATTAACAGAGGGATAGAATCAAGATCACATGAAGTATTAATTACAATGCCTTGGTAAGGCCACACTTGGAATACTGCATCCAGCTTTGGTCACCACGATGTAAAAAAGATGTTGAGACTGTAGAAAGAATACAGAGAAGAGCAACAAAGATGATTAGGGGACTGGAGGCTAAAACATATAAAGAATGATTGCTGGAATTGGGTATGTCTATTTTAATGAAGAGAAGGACGAGGGGGGGGGGACATGATAGCAGTGTTCCAATATCTCAGGGGCTGCCACAAAGAAGAGGATGTCAAGCTATTTTCCAAGGCGCCTCAAGGCAGGACAAAAAGCAATGGATGGAAACTAATCAAGGAGAGAAACCAATCTAGAACTAAGGAGAAAATTTCTGATAGTTAGAACAATTGAACAGTGGAACAACCTGCCTCCAGAAGCTGTGAATGCTCCAACACTGGAAATTTTTAAGAAGAGACTGAACAGCCATTTGTCTGAAATAGTATAGAGTTTCCTGCCTGAGCAGGGGGTTGGACTAGAAGACCTCCAAGGCCCTTTCCAACTCTGTTATTCTGTTAATAATTCTTTATCCCTTAATAAGCCACAGAGTTATTACCATATATTGTGGTGGGATAGAAATGGAAGAAATATGAGTAATTCTACCCTCACGTGAAAACATTGCTGTGCACATAAATACAATTTCTAGACTTATCAAAGCAAAGCAGATTATTGGAGACAGCAGTTTGCTACAAATGTGCTTTCAATTTTTTCTTCTATGTTCACATGTAGTCTTTCCCAAGCAGCCACACCAATCTCTACAGTTTCTCTGGTTGTACTCACATGCACACAGATGCACAAGGCCCGGTCTAGCCGCCTATAAACATAAAATCCCTGTCATTATGTAGTACTTGGAGATGCACAATCTGGGGTCTTCCTTCCTACAGACCTTCATTTTTAATGTACTAGAAAGGATAAATTGTTAACTATGAGATCAAGGAGCCAACACTTAAACTACACTTAGTTCCGACCATAGGAACAAAGGAAGCAAAATTTTGTTTCTGTCCTGCTCTGCTCATTGTTTTTTGAAGTGTGTGTCTTGTGGCATGCCCTGGAAAAGTCTCAAAGCAGATTGGGGCAAGTATAGTAGTAGTGCTCCCCTCCCTACAAAAAGACAGGCCTGCTCTCCCAGCACAAACTCCTTTGCTTGTTGAGCCCAACCCAATTCGCCCTAGAGCTAACATCGGATCCAACAGAGAAGTAGCTTCCTTACCTTCCACTTCCAGCCTGGCTTCGGAAGTAGCTCTCTTCGCCACAAAACGGACCTGGCCTGTGTCCTCAGGGCGGGCAGAAGTCAAAAGCAGGAAGTGGCGGGTTCCTTGGGGTGATGGGGAGGGGGAAAAAAGGAAAAATAAGGTTTTCTGCCTTCTTAAGGAGAGAGATGTGAGGGTTTATGAGGGGCCCTAGAAAGAAAGAGGGTGCCAGGATACTGGTGGCTGGAAGCAAGGGCTTTGTCTTGCTCACAGAGGTAATGGGTATACAAACACTGATACATTTGTATTAGTAAACAACAGCTGTTTCAAAGGATCACAGCACAGCCTTTGTTGTTTTTTCTCCAGCTGTTAAACCACAGTTTTCAAATCCTGGGGGGGGGAGGAAATCCCCTCCTATTGCAATACAATAAATGTAGGCTACAACTGCATGGATCAGTAGTGATTGCCTATGATGTGATCCTATCCCCCCACTACATTGCTGTTTTGAAATCAAGGCACAGAGTAAAAACTGATAGGAAGTCACCAAAGGGAGAGCTAGGTGTACGCTTAATCAGAAAGAAAAGAGAAGTGTTGTACATTGGAAGACATGCTCCAAGGCAAGGCTAAAGATTAGCAGATGTTGCTTTCACTCCCTACCCCACCCCCAATCAAGGTTACTTCCTAAACGAGAGCGGACATCTTTCACCATCCTTGCAGGTTTTTCGGCTGGAAGGCAGAGGCTTCCACCCCCACTGCCACTCCAAGGTCAACACTTCAACCAGAGACTGGAAAGAGAGTCTCCTGGATGGAAAGAAAGGCTTGGCTTTCTTCGAATATCTCTTCCCATAAATCAGGGGGCAGGGGGGGAGCCATTATGATTATTGATAGGCCCAATAGGGGATAAAATGTTTTTGAAAGTAGAGCAGGGGTGTCAAACTCAATTTCATTGAGGGCCACATCAGCATTGCGGTTGCCCTTGGGGGGGCTGGGGGGGCGTGGCCAGGGTGGATGTGGCCTACTGGGTGGGCGTGGATGGAGTGGGTGTGGCCTACTGGGTGGGCATGGCCAGCTCTACATCGTTCACGTCAAGGGTGCCTGCGGGGGCCTGGGCAGGAGTGGGACAGATCTGAGGGTCTCTGGCAGAAGGGAGTGGGACCGGGGCAAGGCCAAGGCATGATGTATTTCTTCATTCCTCAAAAAGGGTGACACTTCCCCAGCATGCCCCAGGGGGCGGGGCCAACGCGGCAGGGGCTGGTTCCTTGCACCTTGTGGAGCTAAGACTGAATGCATTTCAGCATAGATGGCCACCACAAAATTGTACATTGGCTCCCGGCCAGCCTGGGCCAGGGCCAAGGCAATGGGGGGCATTCCCTCACTGTTTCCAGGATGGCTTCGCGGGCCACATGAAACCACTTCGCAGGCTGCATCCAGCTCCCAGGCCTTGTGTTTGACATGTCTGAAGTAGAGAGTCTCTGTCATTCAGTAACCATCCACTCCATCTCTGTCCCCTTTCTTCAGTGTTAGATTATTACTCTCTTGGTTGAAACTGAATTTGAAATAGGACTTCCTTCTGCATCGTTTACTGTACAACCCAAGAAATTGGGGAGGGTCCCTTCTGAGAGGTTGCCATGTCCCCCTTGCTTCTGCTGCCAGGCTGCCTCTTATCTGTTTTCTAGTCTGTGACTTTTCCTCCTGTCTTTCAAGGTCATTCCCACATACCATTACAGAAGGAATCACAAGCTAAGAAGGGGCCAACATGATGTTTTTCATAGCAATCGCAGTGGGTTCTTTAATCACAAGTCCGCTTTGCATATAACAATTACAATGCAGGGGGTTTTTTGTTGTTGTTGTTTAGAATAAGACATGAACCCATTCTCAGGGAGAAATTATGCTTTATAAGAAATCATCACATAAAATCAGGTTGTCCTACGCATCCTGACTTGTTTTAACCATGTCTTGTTATTTAACTATGTCTTTAATTTATTTCTCTTCCAATAATTAAATAGAAAACTGGAAGCAGGGAAGTTTGCACCGCATTCATATGAGGCTTGAAGTTATGTGAATGGGCTGTATATTGATGTAATGATCCCCTGCCTTGAAGAGGCAGGAACCAAGCAAAAGGTGCATGCAAGCTTGGTAAGCAAAATTATGTGTGGCAGCAAGCTGCTCATTCATATCTTGATTTGTTATGCTATCCTGTTGGGCTCTGAGCAGTGTGCAAACACGGCCTTGTCATGGGCTTTTCCAAAAGTTGTTTTTCTTCATTTTGATTGACTTCACTGAAATGTGCAGAATTAATTTTTCGGAGCTTACCCTGAGGACTGAAAATATTTATAACTTTGTATTTAATGCAGTGAGACTAATTTCAAGTTGGCTCTTTGATCTATCTTTTTTATTTCTTTATCTTCATTCTTTAAGCAGCCAAACTACCCTCCAAGGGATGAGTGCATAAGAAAAGCCACTCAGATATTTTCTCAGGCTCTTCCCTGTCCCCCCCAGTTTGCTTTCTCCCCAGGTATTACCCCAGATATTTGGAAGCCTATTTTGTAAAAAAATAATAATTTGAGAATAGTACTTGGAGCACTCGGTTGTTCAGATTTTTAAGTATATTTTCTACCATTGTTACAATCTGAAATAGGAGGATGTGTTATTTGCTCAGCTGACATTTTCCCCAATTTGTTTTTAATCTATGGGCAAATTGTCATCTGCCACATATCATAGCATGAGTACATTTTGATAACCAGTTTTAAGGGACATATCCTCATAACATTGTTTCTCTGTCAACCACAGCCTGTTGAAAGCATCCAGAGCTCCTTTTAGTTGATTCACTGTCACAGAAGTGTTTTCTCTTTTTGCCCCATACAAAAGTTTCTGTCCAGTCTATGATGTGTCTGATAATGATACAGTTGCATCAGGAGCTGTCCACCAATTGTTGGCCACTTAAGTTTCTAAAGAAACTTAATGCCACCTTCCCGTTTGGTCATTATTGGGTATTGCTTTCCATGGATATTTTGACTGGAGATGAGAAACCGACCGGACACCTGACTCACACAACCATTTAGCTGTTGTTTCCGGCAAGGAAATATGTATTTCTTGGAAGAACAACACATTGTTTTCTGTTATTCACTGATCAGCTCACCACCTTTCAGTGTACAAGGGTCTCTGCCACAACAAGCAAATGCCATTTTTCCAGGAAACTGGAAAAAGATATATTCGTTTATTTATTTTATTTAAGTATAAGCTACATCTCAAAATTCTTGGCAGTTCATAGCAGTTATGAAACAACAAGGAAACATCCATGGTGTATTTAAGTTAAAGTTATGTTAAAGCCAAAACACAAAACTCCCATTGTGCCGCAATTAACCCCTGAATTAACTTGGGCTTAACGAGCTTCCGGAAGGCTATATTTGTGTAGCTAATCATACTCTTTATGGGAGGCCATCCCAGAGAAGCAACACTGCCTGGCTTCAACCTCTCTCACTTCCCAGAAATGAGCCACAACCAACATTTTCATCTAAGAAAAATGCCTTAAATGGATCAAATCCTGTGGGAAGAGATGGTTCCAAAAGTATCCCTAGTTGACAGAATGGGGGACAGGATGAAGTAGGAAGATGATCTGTTGATCTACTTATAAGCTCCATCTTGCCCAATAAATTAAAGGTTGTAATAATAGGTCTATCACTCTTCTAGAAGACCAATATTTTTATTTTTGTTTTATTTTGTTTTGTTTTCATTTTGTTTTCATAGGCAGATTCATTTCCTGCCCTTTCCTCCGGCACACAGTTGCATTTATCCATATATACATGAAACAACTGAGGGAATATCACACATTGTTGTTTTAGTCTTTGGGTACTGCTGAAACATTTACTTAGTATTCCATTCATTCAGAAGCATGCATTATCGCCATGATACATTGCTCCTATTACAATAAGCAACTAAGTTTAAGCTCCATATTTGTGGACAACATTCCATAATTCAAACCTTTTCACTTTGTCTAAAACAACAAGTATAAAGTAGATTTTCTTTGATTTCTTCATTTCTCAATGCTACTGGAAAGCAAAAATATGATCTGCACATTTTATGCCTATACAAAACCTAATCTATTACCCCCATTCTCTTTATCTTAGTTCCATAGGCCCTTCCTTCCTTCCTTCCTTCCTTCCTTCCTTCCTTCCTTCCTTCCTTCCTTCCTTCCTTCCTTCCTTCCTTCCTTCCTATTGTTGTAGGTTAGAATACCAGAGTCTTGAAAGCTAGTTAAATAAAATGAAGATGGGGTTATTTTGAGTGTCTTTCTCATACTTTCCTGTTTCCCAAAGGTGACTTGCCTTTTTATCTCCTTCATGGTTCATTGTTTTCTTTCGCTCTCTAAGGCCAGTCCCTACATTTTTTTCACACCTTCTTTCTTTCATCCGTTCATGTTCTTTATAATTTATCTCTTTTACTGTATATTCCAAGTTGCAACTACCATATATATGATCTTCACTAGATGGACCTCACATAATCTTCACTGCACATCTTGATTTTATTAGTTTTTACATACAAATTTAGTACAACAAGGAAGATGTTATCAGTCTTAGTTGCACCCATACCACACACAGTATTTCCTACTAATGATAAGAATTGGCCCATTTGGGTCAGCGTGTCACAAGTGCATTCCAAGCCTAGTTTAACTCCAGCTATGTTTATCCTATTCTGTACAAGCTAGGGTCTCATGTCATCTATTGTTTTTTTTATTTATCTTCCCCCTTGTATTCTAATCAAGAAATCTCATATCCATTGCCATGGCAAGAATGAAAGGGTACACTTACCTTCCTGCCGTATTTTCACAGTGCTGGTGACTTTGAGCCTCTCTCCATTGTGATACCATTCACCTTTCACCTCCGCTAGGGAGACCTCACATATGAAGACAGCATTCTCGTTCTCCTGCACACGGACATCCTCCAGCTCTCGCACAATCTGGACTTGACGTTCTGTGCGGGTGAGAAAGCCCATGCAGTTAGAATTGAAAAGTTTTTACAAAAGTGATGTGTGGACTCATGTGGGTTCCCTGAAAGTATTCAATTAAAACTCTACTCTTGATCGTGGTACTCCCCCAGTTGTCACTAGTACAAACAGATGTGAACTGTGAAAAATATATCAAAAGTCATGATGAGAAACAAACACATTTTCTAAGATTGTAAGAGCTACCACTGTAATTTGGTTACAAGAACATAGCAAGAACCCTGCTGGATCAAGGAGAAAATCATAGGAGAGCATTTTACCCTCCTAGAACACCGGAATAAGAGTTCAAAATGGCTGTTTTATGGTAAACTACAGTACGCTATTGCCAGTATTATTGGGTGAGAGGCTGAAAAATTCACATTCATCAAAAGGTTAAAGGCTATCTCAGAAGGTCTTATCAAGCACAATGGGTTTTTAACCCATTAAAATTGTTGATTGATGAGGTACTTGTAGTCTATCTCATGTAACCTGCATCTGCATACCCAGGCTTTCTCCATTCTTATTTCATCAAAATCCCACAAAAATGTTTAAATCCCCCATCAGTTTAACATCTGATGAAATCAACAAGGTAAAGGAAAAGATTTCCCTGTCAGTCGTGTCCAATTCTAGGGCACTGTGGTCATCTCCGTTTCTTGGCTGAGGGAGCCAGTGTTGTCTGAAAATGCTTATATGGCTATACACCAAAGGTGCAGGGAATGCTGTTACCTTCCCATCGAAGTGGTACCTGTTAATCTACTTGCATTTGCATGCTTTCAAACTGCTAGGTGGGCAGGAGCTGGGGCAATTTAATGAGCGCTCACCCCATTGCACTGTCTCCAGCTGACAACCTCAATGTCTTTAGCCACTGAGCCATCGCACCCCGATGAAGTGAGCAGCAGTTCACAAAAGCTATGCTTTTTATTAAAATATGTCGGTGGGACAAAAATGCTGTCAACTTTTCCCTGCTTTTTGGGCTAGTATAGTCTAATATAGTTCTCCTGCTGGATCAAGAGAAACATTCATCTACTGTCCCATTCTGCTTTTTGTAATGGCCAACCTGCTACTTTTAAGAAGCCCCAAGCAGGACAGGAGAAAAAACAGCTCTCTAGCAACACTGATGTTCAGCAACAAGTATTCAGTCAGATTGCTGTCTCTGAGTGGAAAGGTCCAAAATAATCCTTATTTCATAGCCTGTTTCCAAGAATGGCCAGGCAGATGTTTCCAGGAAATAGTGTTTATTTTTATGGGTCATGAAGTTGTCCATTTCAGGCATATACATGGAGATGCTATCTAGTGACTGGGCTAGTAACCATGTATTATGTATCTCTTCTAAAACCCACTTAAATATTCATTGGCTCTTATTTCCCATCTAGCTTTCTGTATAAGCCTTGAAAGTCTAAAGGAGATTCTGACTCACTACAGCACACTGGGCATTGGATGTTCACCAGCCTGCTCCAGGCCACTAGAGGCAAAAGCCAGGGAAGTGGTAAAGCCAAAGGGGCCTTGCCTTCATCCAGAACATGATAGGTGAGGATGCTTTGTATGGGGAGCTCCATCCCAAGCCTCCCCTCCCTCATTTCTGCTCTCATACATAGCCCTAGCCATCCATACCAAAGACCCTCAGTTTGGCGGAAGCTCGGCAGTCACCAGCATCACATATATATTCGCCAGCATCTTCAAGGCTGCAATGGTTGAGCTGCAGGAGGCGCCGACGTCCCACTGAATATATGCGGCAATTGGGGCTCACCTGGATCTCCTTGCCATCCTATGAGAATTAAAAACATAGAGAACAGGGCCTGTTTTAGATCCAAGAAAGGAAAGATGGAGGAAAGACTACGGGCAGCTGTCAGGTGTTCTGAGGACACAGAGGGAAGTGAGGGAACATGGAGATCATATTAATCAAGAAGGTTCCCTTGAATAAATCAAGAGGACTTTTCAGGACAGCCCATTCTTGGAGCGATAGAGAAGGTCAAGGAAGTGGGGACATTGATAGAGGTAATACTCTCACCTTGTACCACTTCACCTCAGCCATGGGTCGTGACAGTTCACACTCAAATGTTGCTGAGCCTGTCTCGGGAATTCCCAAGTCCTGGGGCAAGCGCAGCATTGTAACTGGTGGCTCTGCAAGGACAGAGATAGCAATAGCAATGACACTTTGACTTATACACCGCTTCACAGTGCTTTACCGCCCCTCTAAGCGGTTTACAGAGTCAGCATATTGCCCCCAACAATCTGGGCCCTCATTTTACCAACCTCGGAAGGATGGAAGGCAGAGTTAACCTTCAGTTGGTGAGGAACAAACTGCCGAACAGCTGGCAGTCGGCAGTCAGCATAATTAGCCTGCATTACTGCATTCTAACCACTGCGCCACCACAGCTCTAAATACAGTTGCAAGTAGCTTGAAGATGCACAATTTTGGAGACTAAAAAGATGAAATGTCTTCAAGAGACGGTACTTAGGCAAACCACACCAGTTTGCATCCCTTATCCTCAGTTTGAAAGACACCATTTTATCTACAGTACCTGTCCTACTTCCCATGCCCAGTTTTCCCACACCGCTGTTGCTATCAATTGCTCTGCTCTGCAGGTACATTGAGTTTTGGATATTAACTCTGTTAGAAAATAGGATTAAGCCAAAGAGTAACTAATCTAGCGTCCTCTTTCCTACAGTGGCCAGCTAGATGCCCTTCAGGACATTACAATCTGGGCATGATCGCAGTGGCTTTCTCCTACATTATTTCCAGCACCAATGTTGCCTTTCTGCAGTCCTCCCTCCACTGGTCCAGTACCTCGGACCGTAAGGCGGGCACAGCTCCTCACAGTATCAGCAGTGAAGGCCACAGTTCCTGTGTCATCTAGTGTGAGCCTTTGCAGCGTCAGGCTGTGCATGCAACCAGTGGCACTCATTTGGCAGGTGGAACTAGGCTTCACACGGATGCCATCACGCGTCCAGACCCCCAATACATTGGGGTGAGATAGCTCAAGCTCAAAGGTCACTGTCTCCTTTTCCAATGTCTCCACATCCAACAGCGGTTTCTTCACTATCACTTTCCGGGCTGGAGAAGAAAAAAAAAGTCTGTGATAGATCCAGTTTTGTCATGAAAGGAGTTTATTTGCTCCTTACAAATCAAATCAAGTTACCAGGAAATGTGTATACAATATTCAGACTCTAATTCAGCAGATAAAGAATCATAGGATATTTCTCATGTGACTCCCGCTAGCAAGAAAATTGTATGTTTCTCTGATCTACTTGGGTAGAATCCATACTCATACATTTATTGGTAACAGAGTGGAAGGATTTGAACTGATTCAGCACATTTATCAGAATGAACTACTAGCTGAACTAGAATTCGAGATAATTCTTCCTCACAAGAAGCTTGTCAATACTAGGGATATCTTAATGAATCTCACAAAAGCTAAGTAGGGTTGGACATGGCTAATACTTAAAGGGAGACCAAGAGGAAATTCCAGGACTCTGGGGTAAACTGGGATATTTAAAAAAAAATATCACAGAAGGCGGCAATGGCAGCTCACTTCCATATTGTTGCCAAGCAAGCAATGTGGACCTATCACCATGAATCATGTTTAACTCAAGTGAACATTGTATATGTATATATAAAAGATAAACAAAGGCAACAGTCTTATGCAGTGTCTTCTACTGCATTTGGCCACTAGGTATATAACTGCTAAAGCTCAGATTCCAAAAAGGCAAGGCTAAGACAAAAGTGAGATTGCAGGAACTGAATTAAAAATTACTAGTTAAAAATAAGTATCTGTAAAATAATGTACTTTATTTAAAAAAATTGATTTCTTATCTGCATATGCCAAGCTATTTTACTCATGCATAAATCACTTACATTCAGAAATATGCAAGTACACACATTCAGACACTGTTATCTTTCCTTTTAGCATAAACAGGGAAGGGAAGGGAGTGAGAAGAAAAGCTACATGCACTGGGAAGGAAAGGGAAAAAATGGATGGAAATGAAACAAGTACCAGAGGAACTGAATATGGAATGCATGAATGTTTAGGGTTACAGAAAGGGTTAAATTAATTAGGCAGGTAGAGCTTCCCAAGCAACTGGTAATATTCAGCTAATCGTTGTTAAAGGAATTCTCACATTCAACAGAGATGTCAGTGGAGGAAAAAACCCCTAAGATAAAAAGTTACACCGACCCTCCCTCAAGGATTTACAATGTACAACTATGAGAGAAAACAAGATCAGGATAGAAATGAGACCTACGTTCCACACTCAGTCTGGCTTGGGTGCGATCATGCAGGCTCTCACAGCGATAGGTGCCTCGGTCAGCAAGCTCAATGTGATGGATGGTAAGGGCCCTTTTTGGCCCTTGTACCTCCATGGAGTATCTTGGATTCTGCTGGAGTAAGACGCCTTGCTTCATCCACTGCACCTCCGCACTCTCCACGCTCAGTTCCACTTCCAAGCGAACATCCTGCCCCTCCTCAGCCGCCAAATCACACAATGTCTGCACAAACAGCACCTGAGCCTCTGCAAAAATAATGCTTAAAGGTTGAATACTAGCCGATACGTCTCTAACCCAAATGCATTCCCAGGCCACCATCGCTCCCTCTTTACAGAGAGACAAGCCAGGATTCAAGGCTATTTCCTAAGGCCTGTGTCAGTTTGGCATGTTTACAAACATAGAATTCAGAAGACTCCGAACCCCAGCACTTATTTTATAAAAAGAACAAGTTCAGAACCTGCAGGGCTATAGAGATAAAGTTTTGAAAATTTGACGTGCTGTGCCTAGATAAATCTTCAAAGAGGAAGGGAAGTCAAAGTAGAATTTCCAAAAGGGATTCTGTTATCTTCCCTACAGGGCTAAAGAAGCAGCATAAATTATGCAAACTAAGTAAGCAGAGATATTATTTTGAGTAAAGAATTTATATTTTCTTAGCATGGAATTTGTAAGACAAGAAAGGACACAGCCCTGGCATTAGCTGATAACCCCCTTGAAACTCTAACTAATCAGAATTACTAATTACTAATTAGTATCACTAATGCACGGTAGTCCTGCCCAAGTATCTGCATTTATCAAAAAGCAACATACATGGTGTGTTGCTGTTCCTCTTACCTTGCACACTGAGTCTGCCTGAACTCGACAGACCTTCCGCACGGACGGTGACTATGCCGGTGTCACTCAAGCGGCATTGTCGTATGATGAGGGAATGGCATAACCCGTTCTTGGCTAGGGTCAACCGCTCACTATTCACTACATCTTGTCCATTCAGCTGCCAATTCAACCTGACATCATCTGGACATATCACCACTTTGAAGGTGGCATCATCCCCTTCTAACACGGTTAAATTGTGCAGCTCAGAAATTATATCCACCAACCTAGGGACTGAGAAAAAGGTGCCATTTCAGATTCGATGGAGTTTGCTAACCCAGAACCAATCCAATAGAAGACCCCCAGAGTACCACCCACATGGTATTACCATGGGATTTATCTCCTAAGACAGGGGTCTTCAAACTTGGCCGCTTTAAGATTTGTGGACTTCAATTCCCAGAATTCCTCAGCCAGCATGGGAGGAATTCTGGGAATTGAAGTCCACAAGTCTTAAAGCGACCAGGTTTGGAGACCCCTGGGCTAAGCTGACTCGGAGTGATGATCTAAATCAGGGGTCTTCAAACTTGGCAACTCTAAGACTTGAGGACTTTAACTCCCAGAATTCCTTAGCCAGCCCTGGCTGGTTGGCTGGCTGAGGAATTTTGGGAGTTGAAGTCCGCAAGTCTTAAAGTTGCCAAGTTTGAAGACCCCTGTCTTAGGACATCCAGATTTGCCTCTTTGTACTGAAGCTTAGTTTCATTGCTCTTCATTCCTTCTATATTTCATCTCATTCATTGATTTTTGCATATTTGTGGACATCAGCTCCACCCACTGTACAGATAGTCCTCGACTTACAAGAGTTCCTTTAGTGACTGTTCAAAGTTACAACGACACTGAAAAAAAGTGACTTATGCCCCTTTTTCTCACTTATGATCATTGCAGCATCCCTATGGGTCATGTGATCAGAATTCAGACGATTGGCAATTGACTCACATTTATGACGGTTGCAGTGTCCCTGGGTCATGTGATCCCCTTTTGCGGACTTCTGACAAGCAAAGTCAAGGGGGAAGCCAGATTCACTTAACCATGTGAGTAGCCTAACACCTGCAGTGATTCACTTAATAACTCTGGCAAGAAACATCGTAAAATGGGGCAAAACTCACTTAACAAATGTCTCACTTAGCAACAGAAGTTTTGGGCTAATTGTGGCCATAAGCCAAGGACTACCTGTGTAGCAATGCACAGAGGATAATAGAATTACCCTGTAGCCTGGGAAGCATGTACATGCTGTTATGAAACAAGAACTATTTAAATAATTTTCTAATTAAGGAAGACTGTGTTCTTCCTCCATTTGATATGATCTGGATGTGTTCATACAACCTCTGCCTTCTTTTAATCAGTGGGGCCAAAGGATGCTTTACATTAACGTAATGTTGTACCTAAGCATACTAGAAGTTGAAACTAGACCTTTTCCATGCAAGGCATCTGCTCTCCAACTTCTCCAAAGAACTTACTTTGGACTGTGAGAATAGCCAAAGTACGGTCATCTTTGCTTTCACATGAATATTCGCCAGCGTCTTCAGTCCTCACATTGCTGAGTGTCAAGGAACGCTCTCGTCCCTCTGCTCGGATCTCCAGGTGTTCATTGGATTCCAGCTCCTGCCCATCTTTCAGCCATGTTACATCACCCTTGGTTTTGCACAATTCACACCAGAACAATACTGTGTCACCCTGCAGCGCTGTCACATCTGAGAGACCCCGAACAAACTTCACCAGCAGTTCTGAGGTAGGTAAAGAATAGTTTGATTAGGAGAATCGGATCTTGGCAACTGGCAGAACCCAAGTCAAATTATTGGGAGTTTAGAGTAGACTGGAAATCTCCAATGCATCCCCAATATGCCACAACTCACCACTTTTGCAGATTTTCACAGTCCTAGTTTGCTCTCTTTCTAAACTATTAGACCCCATGACTACAGTTCACTCTGGCTCAAACATATCTACAGCAGAAAAAGTGTCCACAAAAAGGACAGTCCTTGCTGCCTCTTCTCAAGGTCAGTTACTCCAAGGGCTATGACTATACTCCTCCCAGGCTTAGACCCAGTGGTGGGATTCAGCCAATTCGCACCACTTCGGCAGAACCGGTAGCTAATTTTTTGTTGCCCAGGCCCAGAATGGACTTCCGGAAGTGGCATCCACACAGAGAACTGGCTGTTCACATATTTGAATCCCACCACTGCTTAGACCTCTTTATTTTGCCTGGCACAATGAAGTTTCAGGAAAGAGCATTTCTCTGCTTGTGCAACCTGGGATCTTTTTAACAAAAGATGACAACAAATACACCTGAGACTTAGAGATTCAAAGTGCATATTTGGCTACTAAGTTGAAGTTACTCCAGAGTCAGGCTAACTGCATCAAACATAGATGAAAATCCAGAATTATTGGTCAATTATTGGTGCACCTAGAAGAGAATTCTGAACATTGTTGTGTACCCCAGAACAAAAACAACCTTACTGAATCAGGCAGGGGTGTGTTTCACCCTGTATTAGGTTTCAACAGTGACCAGGCAGACGTATCCAAAGTCTCTCAGTAGACTATAACAGTTGTCATACTGCTTGACCACAAGCATATGCCAATTAGGAATATATTGCCTCTACACACAAATGGTCTATTTAGCTTTCATAGCTAATAACTGCCAATAGTTCCCTTATTGCAAAAAACAGCCACACATTTTTACAGCAAGAACTACTGAAGAAATAATAGGAAACCCTCCCCTCTTCCCAACTGCTTGAGCAATACATCAGAAAGGTTGGGAAATTAACCTTAAAGCTTCCAGTTTGTGTCTTGCGTGATCACAAGGCCCCCTCTTGCAAACAAAGCCAGCCAGTCTGATAGATTAGAAGATCTACAGTCTCCACAGTCAAACAAGCTAAAGAGACAAAAAGTCCAGCTGGGATATATAGGATCCTTAGTTTGACAGACTCCTTTTGTGATTGTGTTGCTGGGAGAATTTTGACCAGTATGGCCCATCCCATGGCTGAATGTAACCAAAGTTTCTCTGCCTGCAAAACCCTTGTTTTAATATAACAGAAAAACTCATTCCTTTTTGACTATGGTCATCCATCTTGAGCAGGCTGTATTTTATTTATTAAGGTATTCCATAAGACAAAGATGCCAACCTGATGCCCTAGGCCTAGGGTCACAGGTGGTCCCTAAATAATTGGCCATGGCCTCTGAAAGCCTCCCAAACTGATAACCAAGAAGAAAAATTAACTGAGTATAGATCCCATCTCCTGCTTTGTGGAGCAGGACCTTTGGCACATTCCCAAAGACCAAATATGACCACACTACCCAGGACCATTGCGGTGGGCTGATATCTGATTGCCTTTTGAATTGCCAGGACAGTGAACAGCTTCTGCACGAATCTCTTACCTTTCACACTGAGCTCAAAATGCAGCTGGTCATGAGAAGAATGGCAGATATATTCTCCGGCATCAGCTTTGCCTACGTTACTCAGTAAGAGGCTGTGGACCCGTCCTTCTCTGCGCAGCTGGCAGTGCTCCCCTGCCACCAGGTTCCCTCGAGGTCCTTCCCAGCTGACCGCAACTGACTCCTTGGAGACAATGGCCGAGAGCACTGCACTGCCCCCCTCCAGTACCAGCACCTTCTCTGGATGCTCTGATTTTGGCACAAACAGCACCGGGGTCTCTAGAGTAAGAAAAGGAGCAGAGAGACTTGAAGAAAGCAAGGAACACTTAGCTAGGCCTCTGATCCACACCCACCATTAGGACCAGAGAAGCTGCTACTTGGTCTCTTTCTCTCTCTCTATTCTCTCTTAACAAATATCATTTGAGCATCATCAAAACTCTACCGTCTAGCTGGAGAGTAACTGGTTACTTTTTCGTGGTTCATGAGAGTATTTCAGAAGTTAAAGATTCTTGGGGGGGGGATTCACCAGAATATGCATACCACACATGCTAGTAGAAGTGACTCCTGCAAATCTCTGCTTTCTGAGATCAACAGAGCAATTGTAAAAACAGATAGATGTCATACATGTCATCAGCACTAAATGGGGATGGGTAACGTAAATTCACATATGACCACTAAAAAAAAAAAAATCACAGTTCAAAGCTCTTTATCATGGTCTCTGTGACTAACACATGGGCCAGACATAATAGCAGCTTTATTATCTGGAGAAGGTAGCGGTTTACAGAAAAAAGCTCTCTCATATCTCCAGGAAGGAAGTTCAAGACAGTTGGGTTGGATAAAGGCAGACAATTGTTCCCAAGTGTGGGCAAGGAAATGTGATTAAGAAAAGCTTCAGTGGCTGCTGCTGCTCTGCTAGAGTAACCCCAGTTAGCAAGAAGCCACTGATACTTAACTAAACCATAACTGAGCCTTATGTCAGCCATAATTCTTTTGGAAAGTTTCTGAGTGGGTAAACTTAAACTTTTCTGAGCCCCTGAAAGCACACAAAAGGATGTCGGTTTCCCCAGAAAGCAATCAGTTGACACAAATAAACAGCAACCATTCTGTAGATATCCAAAACATGCATAGTCCATTCTATTATGTCTTGGGGTTCGCGGCATTGAAGCGACATGCACAACCAGTTTCAACCAAGTTCTTCTTTATTCAATCCAGTTCCACTCAACAAGCAACAGGCTCGCAGGCCTTTTATAGTTTCCCAAACAGCCTATCATAATTCTCCCTTTTTCGCGCCTTGCGCCTGTGCACAAGGCTGGCGCCAGCCAGTCTGGTCCTGGGCAGCTTTTGGAATGCCCGGGACCATTTGCAACACTTCTGGGCCTGCTGAGCTGCCTCAACAGACCCAGGACACAACACATTCCATCAGCATCAAAGAGCTGGTGTGAGGGTGGGGCTAGCAAGATATCTTGATTCCAGCAGGAGGACTTCAGCAGGAAAGAAATATCAAAATTCAAATCTAACTTTGTTCTCTGCTTCAGTGCATATTGTATGTAGGATGCACATCTACGTTTATCTGCCTAAAGTTACAGCTACTAAGAAAGCAGGGTTTCACAACAAATGGCAAAAGTAGCCAAATGGCTTCTGCAGTAGCACAAACAGGAACAATGACATGTTCCATATTGGTACCAGCACAGATATACGGTAAGTAAGTAAAACAAAGGAAGTATTCCATGAAATATTTATACAACAAATGGATCTAAACCAGAAAAAAAGCTAGCTAACGATAAGGTACATCTGTAATGGTATTGAAGTTAATGCACTATATAGAAAACCAATATATGGTGAGTATCACAGGTGTTTTATACACAATA